GTAAACATTCTTCTTGTAGAGCAAAATCATGTGTTTTGGAGATATATATATATATATTCTCAGTTCTATGAATCAGAGATTGTGTTGACTTTTTCACTTTGAGACACCTAACTGTTTGAACACTTTGGATAAGCATTTAAAAGTTTGGATCACTCCTTTGTATTCTGTATTCTGTTATTGGCCTTTGGAGAGTCCATAAAACAAAATGCCTGAAGGTTTCCAAAGAAAAATAAAGTCTTGCTGCTGTGATGAATGTATTTGTATTCAACATTTTGAATGTAAAGCCCAACCAAGGGAAAAGTAGTTTTGAACAACTTTCAGAAGAGAGGAGGGCTCAATAGGGATATGTCCACTTGTGCAGCCCTTCCATGAAGGAGGAGTGGCACATCGCACACCCTTTTCTTCACTTGCTTTTGAAAGAGATACACAGCTTATATTGGATGTAGCTTGAACAGGGTCCCTGAGGAACTTCTGAAGACCACCTACAGGAAGCAGAGATACAGACACTAGAGAGAAAATGCAGAGGAAAATAATGGTTGCTACTTGCCTTACATGCCTTAAAAGTAGTTCATTATTAACTACGGAGCATTTGTGATCAGAGGGTTTGTCCTGTGTTTGTAACCTGGTGACTAAGAGTACACTGCAAAGGTGACTGACCTTACTTCAGTGCAGCTAAATTGTACAATGTGCTCTGTTTAAGTGAACTATGTTCACTTGAGCACAGTTCAGAGCAGAGGCTTGAATTGGTCATTGTGAACTTTCCTCAGAAGAAGCTAATTCAGAAGCGTTGCCATACTGAAAATATCTCTGAAAAGGATTCAAAGCTTTATTAAAAATAAATAACAGCCTTCTAAACCATGGACTCTTTGTTTTCACGGGAAATCACAGAGTGATTCCCAATTAAATGCATTATGGATCATACTCAGAATACTTCCATACATAAAGTACACAAATTAATTTGAATTATTGTTTAATTCTCTTTTCCAAGTATTGTAACATATTCCACCACTAGTTGACAGCAATGACTCAGTCTGGAACTTTCTAGAAATACTGATTTACCACCAAGTTGTTGTTTTACTCAAAGGATTCTGAAAACACAAAAGTGGATGACAGAATGGCAGCAATGCCAGCAGGTTTTAGTGAAAAGAAATATCTGTTTGGAATTTATCAAATTAAGTTTTTTAATTAGGTTCATATTCTACACTGCATTAGGCAGAGACATTTTGAGTAGAGAAAGTGGTACTGGAATTGCATTTTAATTGCTTCTTTTTAATTTACATCTTATATAGTTGTGGTTTGAAGCATTACTTTTGTTTGTTAGAGATCTGATATCAAACCAAATTTTATGCTGGTTCTGTATCATTATGCCAAGATAGGAGATGGTAAATAAAAATGAGTTCAGACATTGTTTCAACCCTTCATTACGACCTTTATTGATAAGGCCAATGGAAATATTGATTTTGTGCCATTTTTTCATTATAGTGGTTAAGATTTGTTTGGTTGAACATGTACTTTTTCATATACTTGAACTATAGTCAGGAAAATTAACAGTTATCATCATTATTACAAATTGAGGAAAGACTTCTGGAGTCTTTTCTCAACAGTGGTAAACAATTTTAAAGGTTAAGCTCTTATAGGCACATTTTGAGACAGCAAAAGAATGATAGACAAGACTCTGATATTCATGATTTACACAGTAGTGTGACAGTGTGTGAACAGACCTTCCAGTGGAAGAAATGTCCTACTGAGGAAATAAAGACACTGATTATTTCAGACAATATATTTTATTTTATATAAATATAAGTCAAAAGTGCATGTACTTCCTGGTCATGCTTTGAAAGTCATTTGTCTCTGGAGCTTCAGTCTTCTTAATCTTAATGAGCTATAATGAAGAACAGTGAACGTTTTCTTTGTATTTTTAAGAGCTATGGTAGGCCTTGTTAAGAGGTTTAACTTACATTTGGGCTATTTCAAAAATTTAGCTGATGCTCAAATTAAAATCTATTGTTTAAAATAATCATTCTTAATGTCTCGAGTTCCTTCCAGTGGAAGATCTAGAAGTGACCTACTACTCAATCCCTTATGCCGGATGTGAAGAATTGTATACTAGAATAAATTTAAGACTAAAATACACACAAATTTCAAATATAACTTACACTTTCAGTTTCATTCATAGAATGGATGGAAGAGGGCAGGACCTCCGAACAGCTAGAGTATGGTTCAAAGGAAAACAGAATAGCTTGCAGTTCAAGGTAGCATTAATATTTGTAGTAATATAAATTAATTTTACTGTGCATTTATGAACTGCTTCAGCCAAACTGAATCACAAAATTAACGTCATATACTTCTAATAAACAAGAGAAAATATTGTATTTCTGTACAGTTTGTATTGTATCAAATAGGCAAGATTTTCTACAACACCCTGCACAGAAAGGCACTCATCTTAATATGAATACCTAGATAAGGCTCTTGTATTTACAAATAAATATATAATTTGTTTATAAGAAATGCACCAGCCTGTCAAGACACTGAGAAGCTGGCAAAGCTCTTAGGTGTGGGACAGCCAGATAAAAGGGCAATTTTAGATAAAAATATTCTTTTGCCTCTCATTTTATTGATCAAACCAGCCAAACACAGCTTTTGGTAATCTTCTGGAATGAATGAAGAGCTGCACTCAAACAAAGACACTGAAAAAGAACAACACAGTAAGATAGATTGTGCTTTTAATGTCATGCTGTTCTTCTTCTCATTTCAAGCTATTTAAAATGAAAGCAAATGTCACACTCAGCTGTTCATTTTAAGCCCAATGGTTATTTACATTTTTCAATAGTTTTCAAACAAACTGAAACAACTGTGCTCATGTTTACTCAGTCCCAACCT